TCAAAGGCTTATGAAATACTATACCCTAATGTATAGTTACTTTATAAATGAAATGTCTTCTTCTAGTAGTAATGGGAAGCGCAGTCACTGAATGTTACGTTCTTGACCTATCGGGTAGGATTTAATAATTTTCTTAAGTACACAGATAGAAAACTGAGACACAGAAGTTGGAGATGTACCCAAAGTTAAGTAGCTGTAGTAAGACCCTGATGCATAATTAAAACATGAGCAATTCGAATTCAGATTGTAGGGTCTGGATTGGTCCTCCACAAACCTGCATGCAGTGAGATCATTGTCTCAAAGGTGACACGGGGTCCCATTTTAAGGGTGCAGCAGTTTAGATAATGTTTGTCTATTGTTGAAGTGTTTGTTGTTTATAGCTTTTCAGTGATCTAAACATTGTTATGATAAACATCCCCTCTGTACATTGTGACAAACTTGTTATTTTCTTAGGCAAATTCATGTAAGAATTCTTGAGTCACCTTTAAAAGAAAAGTGAGTGTGTGTGTGTGGGGGGGGGGGGTTGGTGATGGCCGATGATATAGCCGTGGTAGCATCTAGCAAGAATGACAACCTGAGTTAAAGTCTCAACACTGAAATTAATGAATTGGACATTGAGTCTAATGTTTCAGTCCCAAATGTCTAGAACTTTAAACAACTTGGTTTTGAAATGAATTTATTATAAGAAAATAATCTTCAGTAGAGACACAAGCCCTTTCTTCCTTTTCTTTTTTTTTAATTAATTTTTTTTTAAGTTTTTGTCCCAGAAGAAAATGAAGGGGGCTATTTTGTGGACAAGGTTTCCAACAGAAGGGAATCCCTTGGCAAGAGTATAAGCAGCTTTGGCAGAAAGCCACCCTCCAAAGGAACAGGGCTCAGCTTGTCTCAAGCCAGTGAGTGAGGATGAGCTCAAGGCAGCAGGGATGTCCCCGGAACAGCGATGGCAGCAAGAGACTGTATGGGTGGAGACACTGCCTTACAGGGAGCTCCCACATTAAGACTCCTGGGGTCTGTCAGATGTATGACTGCTTCAAAGAAGTTACTGTATTTTATACAGACCCACAATGTTCCCCTTATCTCTCATTACAAACACAAATAATGACTAATAAATGCATAAGGTATAAATACTATAAGCTTGAGTTGTTTCCTTCCCCCTCTCCCTTTCCCACAGTAAATAAGTAAATGAGTAAACTCTACATCTACAAAAGCATATCTGAGGGTAAGACATCTTCAGGGCGACACATACAGAAAGCATGCTATGCTTGTGTTCTGGGGTAGCTCTGGATGGGTTTGTATTCATACCGTTTATCTTGCCTTTTCCAAATGGAAATTTGTGTGTACATATGTATGTATGCATACGTGTTAGAATTGTAATGCTGTTGTCTGTCAAGAATCTCCCTTTGTTTTTAGTATAAGCTCGGGGACTCGAAGTCAAATCCTTGAGCTTGCAAAGCAAACATGTTGCTGAGACCTTCAGCCTCATAATGTCCTTTTTTATTTCCTCCTTTGAGACAAAACTTTGCTGTGTGTTCTAACTGGTCTGATTATGTCTAGTTCATGCAAAGCTCAAATTTATGTCACTTGTTGTTGAAATAGGAGCGGCAGCACTGCGTCCCCGGCACCCGGCCGCCCGCATGGCTAGCTTATACCCAGAAATAATTACACGGAAACTGTATTCTTTCAAACACTGCCTGGCCTGGCTAGGTCCAGTTTCTTATTGGCTAGCTCTTACATATTGTTCTAACCCATTTCTAATATTCTGTGTAGCCCATGAGCTGGCTTACCAG